AATATGACGGCAAAATTAGGGCATTTCCAGATAAACAGAAGTTTAGGGAATTTGCAAAAACCAAACCAAAATTACAAGAAATACTAAAAGGAGTCCTCTGGTTAGAAAATAAATAACTTCAGACAACAACCCAAGACTAGAACACAGGACAAAGCAACCAGATATCAACCCAGACAGGGAAGCTGCAAAAATAAATCAAAGCTAAAACACTGAAAATAGGGAAACAGAGATGTCAATATGTAAAAGATGACAACATTAAAAGAAAAAACAGGAACTAAAAAATGTAGACTTAGGTTTTTCATATGGAGAGGAAGTCAACGTGATATAAAGAAATAAAAGACTGATTTAAACTTAGAAAAATAGGTGAAAATATTAAGGTAACCACAAAGGAAACTAACAATCCTACACATCAAAATAAAAAACAAGAAAAATATAAAGACTCAGAAAATACAAAATCAACAACAATGAAAAAGATGAAAAGAAAATACACAAAGAAAAATGACTCAGCACAAAGAAACTGTAAACAACACAAAAAAAGACATCAAAATGACAGCACTAAACTCATACCTATCAATAATTATGCAGAATGAAAATGGACTAAACGCACCAATAAAGAGGCAGATTGGATATAAAAAAAGATCCGTCAATATGCTGCCTACAAGAGACACACCTTAGACTTAAAGACACAAACAAACTAAAACTCAAAGGATGTAAAAAATATATCAAGCAAGACACTCTAAAAAAAAGGAGGAGTGGCAATATTAATCTCTGACAAAATAGACTTTAAAGTAAAATCCACCACAAAGGATTAGAAAGGACATTATAAAGTGATTAAAGGGTCAATACACCAGGAGGACATAACTATAATAAATATTTACATACCCAACAACAGGTCCAAAATACATAAAACAAACTCTAACAGCACTGATAAGAGAGATAGACTGCTCCACAGTAATAGTAGGAGACTTCAACACACCACTTTCGGTGAAGGACAGAACATCCAGAAAGAAGCTCAACAAAGTCACGGAAGATCTAAATGCAACAATCAACCAACTTGATCTCATGGACATATACCAAACACTCCGCCCAACAGCAGCCAAGTATACTTTCTTTTCCAATGCACATGGAACATTCTGCAGAATAGACCATAAAGCAGGCCTTAACAGAATCCAAAGCATTGAAATATTACAAAGTATCTTTTCTGACCATAGAGCCATAAAAGTAGAAATCAATAACAGAAAAAGCCAGGAAAAAAAATTAAACACATGGAAACTGAACAACACCTTGCTCAAAAACTATTGGGTTATAGAAGAAATTAAGGATGTAATAAAGAAATTCATAGAATCAAACAAGAATGAAAA